TGAGACTTCGCACCAAAGCTTGAGATTACGCAGTCTATAGAAATTAACAAAACAGCCGTTCTGAATAGGAAAAACGAATGCGGAAATGTGGGATAGGCTTTATGAGAGGGAGAGCAGGAAGAGCCATTGAACAAGAGGAAGAGGCTGAATTAGCCTCGAGTCTGGATAGGACTATCACACCTCTCATGACATGAACATTGCACGCACACAATACGCAATAGTACAAGCCCAAAAATGATTCAGCATTAGAGGGTTGCACAATAGTTTATTTATGTAAGGAACAGCTGCCCCCGAACGCACTCATCTGCAAGCATGTACAGTAAGTTTTAGGTAGCCAACTAAATCATGGGATGCATAGTAAGATCGCAAGCTTAGGTGTATAAAAAAGCGACTAGGGTTGCAGCCGGTTACCTTTTTTCTCGGCTTAGTATATGTTTTCTTATATTTCGTAAAGTATGGATTCTTGCCCTGATGATGTATGTTATGGTACAGATGAAAGCTTAGCACAGATTCATCGGAGTCGCAGAACGTTGAGCCAAGGATTTCTTCGCATACTACAACAGTCTGCATTACGCGGCAATCCTCCTTTGCTTTCCGGTGGGACCAATTTCCGATTTTCTCCCAACCAACTTGTCCGTTCTTCATGTTTTACAGAATCTTTTTATGTACTCAAGGCATCAAAAATGCAATAATTTGTTTGTGACAACACTTTTGACGGACATAGGATAATAAGTTCGATGTTTGCTCCCTCCATGCAAAATCAGAAGCTACTTTTATAATTTCCAAAAGGTAAGTATTCAATGGGCTTAAACAGGTCATGACAAACTATAATGAGGCGTATTATTTTTTAAACATCCACAGATCAGCTTGTTTACTTAAGCAGAACCAAGAAATGCACATACAAGCAGACTAAAGAGTAACTCTTTAGAAATGGTGTTAGTTCAATGGGGAAAGCAGGTGTATACAATAGACTTGATATGATGACTAAACAAAACCAGTCTTAACCGTTTTAGAAAACAGTTTTGAGTTTACATCCCACTATAGTGGTAAAAATGCCCCTTCTGTTGAAATGAAAATGATCAAATAAGATAGATTAACATTATTTTAAACAATGATTGCTATGCAAATGCAATGATTGTGATTTGCCGAAAAAGTAAAAGTCCTTCCTTTTTATCTGACCTACCTTTTT